AGAAACAAATATTTGTCAGTCTAAACTGCTTTGGACGTAGGTGTGAACTACCGACATTAGTTCTGTACATCAAGCTTATCTGGCTGCGCATGCGGTTAGCTATAACAATGCATATTGTTTACTGTTAATAATACTGGAGAGACAAGTAGAAAAGCATACATCAACTAACGTTCGTCTTTTTACTGTGATTTTCCAATTTATGTTATATTTGCAAGATATTTTTGCCGATACACTACTGTAGAAAAATTGCACCTCACACGCGATTCAATATAAGTGTCCAGCGGTCATTTTATGCCTTCTCCTTGCCTTCAAGGAACCAGCCCATGATATCATAATCATAGACGCATAAATTGGCCGCAGCTTTTGCGAGATAATTATCTACCATTAGATCTGCCGAGCGTAATTTAGCACTAAGAACAACAATTAAACCTACGTCCTCAGACATTAAAACATTCTGTCCAACCACTTTCTAGAAATCGAATGGCGGCTTGCCAAAAGATAGCCAGAGATCCTCTGAGATATGCGTGACGTACGACGCAGTGTCCCACTGCAATCAGACCGACTGACCGTTGCGCAAGATGTCGATGAATTTTCTAAGATCCGCAGCGTTGATTTGGAACGTGGCCAACAGGCCCAGGGAGCTACCAACCGGAGTAGGTTTGGTTGTGTGTCTGGGTCGGAAACTCTTCATTGGATCGCAGGTGGGGGCCAGCCCAGTTTTGGCCCCGTCGGGAGAGATGGGAATGCAGTATACATCACCGTTCCCCATCCTGCCACAACGTTGACAACCATGCTGGCGGAAGTTACAGTCGCGGTGGAAATGCCAGGCACCACAGAATCGGCACGCGTAAGGTAGTGACTTCGCTCGTTCCGATTGTTTGGGGCGCGAGGACGATTGCGCCCTCGGTGCTGTGACTGAATGGACCATACCAGGTGCGGCGGCGTTCTGGATCATGGCTGAATCGTACTGCAGATTGGGCAGAGTTTGACACTCCTCCGCTATGTTCTGGAGTGTGACTGAGCTGTCTTGTTGTAGCTTGGACAGGATGCGCGTCCGGATATCTGCATCGTGTGGAGACTGAAAGCCAGAGACGAAAATGAAGCATTTGAATTAGTACTCGGTGAGTGAGCCAAGTTGAAACCGTTGGCATTCACGGCTGACCAAGCACGCGAAGTTGTCGGCATCACGTGTGGCCAGCTGCAGACAATGATAACGAGCATTGTACAGAGAGGACTGCTCGCCAAAAATCTGGGACAAGGTTCGGACCGTCTCGTCAAAGGTAACCTCACGCGCATTTCTCCGTTAGAAGAATGTGGTATATCGTTAGTGTTCGAGCGTACCAAGTTTACGAAGAAGTAGCCGGATCTTCCACGCGTCGTCCTGGCAAGCCAAGTCAAAGGTGTAAAGGTCCTCGTACTGCTTGTACCAAGATGCCAACGCTACCCTGGTTCAGGCGTCGTACAGGAATTCCCTGATGCCGCTAACCACATGGTCCACTGAATGAGAATTTGCGATAAGACCTGCATGAAGGGAGAAACTGGAGAGATTTTCGCTTAAGACGGACGTCATGTAAGTTGTAGTTGCAGCATCAGTTTTACATCGGCGTATTCGTCAGTCACGTTTCGTCAACTCTGTGCAACTATTATAATCGAGGGACGCCGCTGCTGTGGTTGCGTAACGCCTAACAACATTGTCACTGGCAGGGTTAGAGCACACCTACGGTAACGGCCTGGAACGATGACCAATCGAACAGATTTGCGCTAACCTGATGGCGTTAGCTTAGCCCGGGGTACGCACTGGTGAGAAGGAAATTGAGCTAGTGTGAGAACGATCCTAGCCGCACGTATTCGGGTAGACGCTGAACCTCGAGGCAGACGCACACGAGAGAGGTTTATGGTAGACGCGCAATAGTGACTTAGACGCGAACGATGCCCGGCAAACGACACACACAAAACCACCTGAGCGACCGACTCGAAGCTAAGGCAAAGAGGAGGAAAGGCGAGTGGTCATCTGAAGGCTCTTTTACGACCAACAATGGCAACTCACAGCCAATGCTATGGGTTATTAACTTAGAGAAAATTGCTACCACCATGAGGTGGTAGTTAGCCAAAGAGCACTATCAATAGGTGCGCAGTTGGGCCATGTCTAAGTTTGGCTGAACACTGCTTCGTTGTGTTGAGGAATTGGACATCGCTTTCCATAGCCATTATGCCGGAGATTCTGGAGCGTTTTGCGGGGATATTTACGGCCCACAACTGTATGTACTGTTGGTCCCGACTGTCAACTTTTACGTGCGCATGTATTGCCTGGATCAATGGGGAATTCTACCGATCATCGTCTACAGGATTACTTAGAATTTTGTTTACAACCTCCCTCACCTGTCCTCCGGCACAGGCAATCCTTCGTCTACCCTTTCTTTTAACCATCGCACTGGCCGCAGTCGTGAGTTTTAGTGACTGTCAAATGATTAACCCAAGGTATAAGTATCAGTTCATTAGCATTTGCATTTTTGCGTGGATTCCGTTTACGATTACAATATGTCCAGCTTATATATTTGGCTCTATTTGTGTCGGTCTGAGAGTGAAAGTTTTTATTATTAGTTATTATGTGTACATAATTTTGCGTTAATTGAACGGAGGACTTTAGATCCGCTTCGCACTTCGAACCATTTATTATTTGTCACTACAACTAATGAAACCTTATGGTCCAAATAAAAGAGCTGCGATTTGGCTTTAAAGGAAAAGTTTATTTTACTAAATTTTCTGGAAAGCAGTACCCAAACAAAGACGGCAGGGGATTTTAAACTTAGCAAGCCAACAGTTAGCATCTTCCAAAGGCAAACATATGAATTTTGGGAGCGGTATGAAAATGCACGAGTTCTACATCGAAAGAAGCGGAAACCTTTACACGATGAAGCCAGTGCTGTTACGTTGCATAGTTGAGAGCAAATGAGAGCAGCTCACGCTTGATTCTCTGAGCAGACGATTCAATAAAACCTTCTCATAAGTAATTAAGGTCGCAGAATTCCAGGCATCCAATGGTGTGCCACAGAAATTGAAATGCTCACACGAAATTTCCCAGATATTTTTATGTAGCAAATCCAATGAAATACCTGCATAGTTATTTTTAAATGATCTTCGAGCAATGTTCCAACTATGAGGAGAATTTTAACGGTTATTTTTGCAGTCAATTTTACCAGACGATGTCTAACAGAAGGTTTATTATAAAGGATAAGAAATATACGCGTAAACGTGTCTTACTGAAATTTCCACATTGAAGATAATCTAAAGCCCCTGGCCATCCGTATATCAGCAAGAACACGTGCATCCTAAACCTAAATTCTGAAAACCTTCCAGTTACCAAAAAACCAAACCAATCTGCGTGGTTCACTGCTGCCACAGTTAAGGAGTGGATCAGAAATATTGAGAAAGTACTGATGAGGAAACAACTATGGGCAGCTGTCCTAGTCAAGCACATGTCAAAAGCTCACAAATTTTACAATTAAGTTTCTGTCTCAAATATGACCTCGCGGATACACAATCTGGACCGACTGATCATGGAAATATTCAAAATGCACTTCCGTGCCAAGCTTATGCGATGTGCTATGACTAACTTGCATACTAAATGTACTCATGCGAAGGGAACTTCATCGATTGCTTTAGTTAATGCCTTGCATGCTGCGTTTCGGGTATGTTCCGCTTGGTTTATATTTCAAGCAGAAATAAAACGTGTTTCAGCAAAGCTAGAATTCTTAAGAAGCTCAAGTGGGGTGCGTCGCCTTATTGGACATTCCAGCTTTTTGGGCAGAATTCGACGGAACAGATTTACATAGTTTATTGAAAAGAAGGATTATTTGGTAACATGCGTTGATCCCGACTCAGATGTGATTTTCCAAGTGACGCGGAAAGCCGTACACCCCTACGGAAACAAGAAACACGCCAAATGAAGTTGATAATAAACAAAAAGAGGGATTTACGATGAATTTGAAATCACATAAATATAAAAAGGAAAAGGAATTCAGACATGTTTTAAAGTAACTGAAATTATTTGCTTCAGCAATACAGGATGGCATGTTGCGCCATGAGGTTTATGCTGGAAACGCTTTTTCAGTTAGCGGTAAAATAAACAGTAAGAGGTCGGCTTTTGTTTAATAAAAGATTGAACTTCAAAATCTCAATGCTTTGGGGTTGTCATAACACAGTTTGGTTGGACTATGTATGCCGTTACGTGAGTGCTCATCTAATGTGATTGAAGGCGGTTTGTTTGAAAAGCATTTTCATTTGATTCTACTTACAACGGCAAAGTAGATGAATGCTACGCTTGGCCTTGAACCTCCGTAAATTGTGAAAATATGTTGACCACTTTTCGTCCAATGACTGGTCAACTTACAGAGGTTTCACTGCAATCAAAGAATAAATGTCCGAAAAATATTGCTGACATCAGAAAAGGGATGCTTCTCTATATCAGGCAACTGCAAATGGGACCAGTCGCAAATTGTTTAGCCAGGTAATAATAATACGGCTAGATTGCCTGAACATTTGTCATATAATTCGATCAGCGATTCCAAGTGCAAACATGAATTATTCGATAGATGAGTCATCGTCTTTTGAGTGGATGGCGGCGTGCATGAATCGCGTAAAGTGGATTCCATACAATGGATCGCATAACCACCTATGAAACAGACGAATGTTACATGTTGTGCCTCCGCAGCATGGCACTAACATATATCTGTATCTAAAGCTTTATCTATATTTATCTATCCATCTATCTATGTACTACATATATATCTATTTGCACTCAACGGGTATAGACAGCAAGACTAGCATTCGAACGCTGAACGTCTTGTTGTTATCAAAATCCCGAAACATGCTGCCACCTTGTCACGGCGGGTAACTTTGACACAGTGGCTAGTCATAACTTATTGAAAACATTTCGAATTATTTCTTTCATAACACATTCCAAAGCTGTTCAACTGTCATATAACTTTGACAATTTAGAATTAGCCCCCCGTAAAACCCAACATTGTCACATTGAAATCTGGCTTACCGTTCACGTAACAAGCGTTCTTATATGTTTCTTCAAGTGTATGGTGTCCAGTTTGACGTCCAATAGTCCGCGAGTCTGAAGCCTGAAAATAAGTACACAGATTTCAGAATCGCAATCACGATGAACCAATGCTACAAATGCCACTAAAATAAAAAAGCGTTCAATTCCATCTTCACATTGCTTACCTCGGTCCACGGTTCCGGTGTATTGAATACACACTGAACTAGGTTGCACAGTGCATGACAGAAAGCTGGCTGTAAAGAGTAGTAGTTGATAACGCTCATCGAATTTCACACGGCGAGCAGATTAAGGGAACGAATACGGAATACCCAAAATTAGTAGTATACTCTTCGGCACTGTGTAAATTAATGCAGCAAGCTGTTGTATGCACAACATGCAAGCTCTCCAAGTGATTTACTAAAATGTTAACACGTAATACTAGATTACGGATACTACGATTATTTTTATTCCACTGCTAAACACTCCCAAAGAAAAGGTAACGGGGCTAACTGTTGAAAAGAAACATATTGCAGGGTCGAATTTGGATTACCAATCCTGTGGTTGGATTGCGACATGCAAAATCCATTGAGATTTTTGTGCACTTAGAAGCAAACAGTGGTCAATCTGATTATAAGCATCGCATCCGAAATGCAGGAGCGTCCTCGAAACACCTGCATCTCAGATATGGACTTTGTGAAATAAAGCTGCTTATGTGTTCTCTTTAATCAAGATGGACCATGTGGTCAATGATATTGGACACCAAATCTTGTCCGCCATATTACCAATTTACATGACAGCGGAGTCAGGACACATATACTGCAGAAAACATTGGTCTTCGTAACTGTCCGAGTAGTTATGGAGGAAGTTCCTCCCCTCGTGTTGTTCCACAGTAAACCAGCTGTTGTGGTAACATTTTCGCAGTCGGTATTGTTCATACATTATCTCACATAAGGATGTTTGCAAACGGCGGCCCACGGCCTAATACGTACGAATGCTGTGCTTCGATATTTAAACTTCCAAAGATACGCCGAATAAAGGCCATCAACATTTGTACAGGAAACAAAGGGAATCGGCTAGGAAAACAATATGGAGTGGATGTTAAAGTTTCGGTAGCTTCTAATGCAATCAATTGCTAGATTTAACAACCAAATTTATTCATTGCTCTTTTGCACCAGAAACCTTATTGAAAGCACAGCAGAAAGCTCAGCTCATGTAAATGGCAGACGGATGAGTGGTTACTGTTATAAATCTGTTCTTTGATAAACATATTTTGGCACCCCAGTGCTATACAGAGTATAACCAAAACCAAGACGTTGAGTGGCAAACAGGCATCCCATTACAATATCATATTTGTGCCTATGGTAGAGCATGCAACTCTTATATGGCTTTTAGTCCAAAATGCTTTTATCTGCTTCTCAAATTAATTAAACTGCATCCGTTTCAAAAGCTATGGAGAATGCGCAGTCTGAAATATTAGAAATGGATGATGATCAACAAGTTAACCGGACTAAATATTACTTTGTAGACCCAAATGCAACGGCTTGCAACTGGAACAGAGCTATCCACAGCAGAACTCACCATGCTTTCTAATGAATGTAGGTCTGTGATGCAGTAGGCCAGTATTTTCAAGAACGCATCAATTGCTGGCTGAAATGGCGAACAGTTTACGAGGTAAGAAAATGTTCTAGAAGGTATAAATTTTTGTTCCGTCACCTGTGTCGACAATTGGTAATCCAATCTATTTAGCAACCGAGGAAATTGTGAAGTCAAACTAGCAGTTTGGCAAAACCAAACCAAATTTTTACTCAATGCTTAATGCCACAAACACACAGACTTCTTTTGTATGGAGGCGACCCATTTGCATTATCAATATGGAGAATGTTCACTAATGATGGCACCCGTATTATTTTGCTAGAACACCTGTTACAAACGGAAACCTAACTGGAACACGACGAAGCCAGGTGATTTCTGAGAACTGCGCACCAAATACTGACTGGAGGTTTATGTCTGAATGTCACGATATCCTTGTTATCTTAATTATTCGGACCTCTATTATTCTACATAACATGAGAAGACAATGTAGGCGCCCTAATGAGAATGATAAGCGGAAGATGTTCTATGAACCTTTGAACCTACAGTGTTTAATGTTCAATGACAGCAAATGAAAGGCCTTAGAAATGGGTGCCAATGGTTTTTGTATGCCCCGTGAGAAGTTGTTAAGTAACCACGTAAGAAGGCTTACAGGATGAAATGCGCCACTAGACCAAACAAGTTTATATGAAACGACTTTGAAGCAGCAAATTAGATAACAGTATGACATAAGCCATAAAGCCATTAAATTGGTTTTGTTCTCAGCTAGCTGGTGACGGAGATGAAAGTTAAATTCCCTTCAATCTCAAGTTACTAACCTCGTTCTCATTCCATAAAGCTTCCACTTGTTTCTCCACTGGCGCTAAAGATATCTGATCCGTTCTTCCTTTTTCAACAAATAAGGCATTCAGTTAATCCCTTGATATAACCTGACGGCATGTCTGCTTATAAAAAACGTGAGAGTTTGTACATAGTGCGTAGAGACAGGATAAGGAAATGCACTGGGCCAACGCTTGCTAAACTGCGAAACCTACGAAAGCAGTTCGTGTTGTGTTGTTGGGGGTATTGCCAAAAATACGCATGTACTTGACAGTGCGAATCCTAAAACGAGAAGTTACATCCAACACGGTATAATACCTTTTTCTTTTGTACCTCTCTTTCACATAATTTCGGTATGGCAATTTCCTTCCTGAATTTTTCTCGCAACTCACGTGTGCCGCCAACATCTATCATACCACATTTGACTAGGCAAATGGAAATGGTGTGGAAACGAGTGACTCACATGTAACAGAAATATTTGTTTCTCGTATTGCATTACTGAATTCTGCTAGTGGATGCATGACAAACTTCATTCGATCGTTTGTCACAGTGGCTAATGAGAAATTAATTTCTAAGTCAATTTTAACCAAATATGCAAATATCCATACTTGCATCTTCGCCGGAGAGTATTTCCCGACGTCCGTTTGCAACAATGTGTCCGGTCGGATACAGACTGCAAATTAGGTCCACGCAATCTTGTGCTGCAGCATCTGATTTGTGCGTCTGTTTCAGGACAAGAGGAAGTGATGCGCATAGCAAAGAACCTACGATTTGTTTTTCTTCGGACGTAATTCATTACAAAATGTTCTCTTTCGTACGAGTGGGGCGTAGCATTCCGTCAGGCAAGATGTCCTTGGTGGCTTCCCGCAGGGCTCGGTATTGGGGCCATTTATTTTGCGATTTTTTTTAATGACTTGCCTGGAGAGCCAGGAGTGTTAGCACTAATGTATGCTGACAAAGTTAAGCTCTGGAATATTGTGGATATCCCTTGGTCCTGACGGAATTCAGCATGCCTTGCGTAGACTCTGTGAATGGTCTGCCATATGGTTGATGCCCATAATTAGGACCAGTTGCCCTGTTCTCTCAATCGGAGCTGCTATTCCACCCACCTGATATGTTGTCGGCGGTGGTGAACTCCCAGTTGTCAGTCAGCAGGTTGATTTAGGAGCCGTACACTCATCAGCACTTCATTCTGTCGACGATTGGAAGAAGGATGCTTGTCGCGGGTGTCGTATGTTGTGGTTTATCCGCCGCTCTATTGATATCCTAATGACCAAATTCTTTGGTGAAGCTATTCCCGGCATTCGTCCGACCCCACCTGGAATATCGTATCCAGACTTGTCCACCATGTTTTATCCGAGACAAAATGGACTTGGAGAGGTGTTACGACTGAGCACTCGGTTAGTGCAGGTTCTACGGGGACAGACATCCTGAACGCTTGCTCAGTTTGGGGATATACTCCATGCACTACCGAAGAATAAGAGGGGACCTGATTCTCACTTATCGTATTTTGACGGGTAAGATTGTCCCTGACTTCTCAGACCCATTTGGTCCCGCTACGTTAACTAATCTCCACCGTCACCCACTGAAACTGCATGAACCACTGTCTGATAGGATTAGGACGTAAACTCGTCTGTCGCGCCGAGTTACTTATCACTGGAATTCGCTTCTAGATCACTTGGTTAGGGGAGCTACTGCTAAGGAATTTGCGCGCCAGCTTGGTGCGATTAGGAGGCAATACCAAACATTTCCTTTTCCTAACTGGCTCACCTTCATTATAAGGTTCATTTTTATTGACTCAAATAGCTTGGTATTCTACTTGCTTTGCTCTTTCCACTTTTTCTTTTCGCCTTCTGAGTTTAATTTTTCTCTTTCTTACTTCAGCTAACCGGCCAAGCAGGGACTGCTAGGACAGGATACGTGGTCATTAGTTGATTGGACAGGATATGACGCGGTCTTTGTTTTAAGTTCATCAGTATTTCAAATTCTGCCAACTCCTGGTTCAAAGACGCTCTGAATAAGGGACACTCGCGGGATATTCCTATCGCTCCTGTCCCTCTAGAACTTCAAGTTGAAGTTGGACCGCTTTTGCTAAATATTGTTACAATGTTGCATAAATTTAGGTAATACATCATGCCTGCAGTTGCTAATCTGCTGGAACAATCACGTTTTTTTCCGTTGTTTTATCGCTGAAGGCTAACGCATTGATCTCATTTCTGAAAGGATTTGAGGACCGATTACTTTAAGGATGACGTTGCTTGATTTCAATGAATTGTGGGACTAAAAGTTTTACTGTTCCCAGTTCTGTACTTCGGCTTTTTCCGATATTGTGTTATACGCAGCGGAATGGAAATCTAACTAATATCGATAAAGGTACGCCTATGACGCATGTTGGAGAATGTATCATATAGACGCAAAAGCAGATTTTTGTTAGCACGTAAGCTTCATGATTAGATTCAGGATCAAGTAAATAATTATCCTGATCGAGAGTTGGCGAATTAATTGCAAAAATTTTTCCCGCGAATATACGATATTCACAAAAACCTAAAACATTTTTCAAACTGTCATGGTTCTAGGTGCTTCCTTCAGACCAGAATTAGCAGGATACGTTTACATCTAAGGCTTATGCAATATAGTTTATGTTTAGCAACTGCCCACCTATTGGCGACTGAAGTTCGTTAAGACAAAGAAATGCGTGGATATAAAGGCGTAATGCGGCTATATGAGCAGCAAACATAGAGGAACCAAGAAGATCACAGGCTTTCGGACACATCCACCAATGTTTTCTTGGTTTGCGGACTGCTCAGAGCGGTTCTCGAAGTCATCAATATCAGATAGACGACAGCGTGGTGGGTTGTACACACAACTAGAAGGA